ATTTGAATAAATAACAGAAATGCCATATATATATATATATATATATATATATATATATATACTTGAATTTCAATACAAAATAATAATTGTTGATCAGTTCTAAGAATAAAAATTTCACGAAAAAATAAAAAAAATAAAAACAAAAAAAAGAAGAAGAAAATGCACAATTTATTTCTGTCGAATAATATTTAGACAAAGAAACCAACAAAAAAAAAAAAAAAGAAGAAAAAATAAAAGAAGAACAAAAATTTGCTAACATAAGTTCCAACGAATTTGAAAATAAATATTGTACACTACTGCAAGAATTTTTATGATATTCAGAGATAAAAATAGTTAAAATATATATGTGTGTTATAAATGCAATACAAGCAGAGTAGAACATATGGATTCGTGGAATTATTCCACGCGTGTTTTCAAAAACCATGAACTTCGGAAAAAAGGATTCTTTTGAATTAGCCGACATATTACTTTTGTCCGATGATATCTTCACGTTTTATTATTATTATTATTCGTTCATTGAATCGATTTTATTACATTTCAAATAATTAAACGAAACAAAGAAATAAAAAAAAAAAAAGAAAGAAAGGAAAGTCAAGTATTCGCCTTTTTTTGTTTGTTTGTTTGATGATAGGTTTCTTTTATTTCTTCTTCTTTTTCTTTTTCTTTTTCTTTTTCTTCCTCTTCTTCTTCTTCTTTGTTTATGGTTGACTTCTTTCAAGTGTTTCGCGTATTATAATTTTTTTTTGTTGTATGTGTATTATATATACGTGCCACGCGTACGTATTTTAAGTAATTGTTTTCTTTTCTGATTCTTTTATACAAAAGCCCACGTACACATACACACACAACTGCGTTCCTTTCTATTTATGGGGGTCCTTCTTTCAAGTGGTACTTCGTTGGTCAATATATAAACCGTAGTATAAATAATTGGAAATCTAATGACACAGTTTAATAGGGTTTTTTCGTTTTCTGGTTACTTTCTCGTAAGTAATATTTATTTCAAGAACAAATAAATAGAAATCTTGATTTTATTAATATATTTTTTCGTTCTTATTATATACGCGTACGCGATAAATTTGTATTTTTTGATTTCTAATTTTTGTCTTCTTTTTTTTCTTTTTACCGTTAAAAATAATTCATATGATAAAACAGAAAAATTAAAGCGGGAAATTTGAATAAATTTTTATCGTTACGGACCAATAAAAAAGAGGAGATTAGCGAATGGTGGTGGGGGAGGGGTGGGGAGGTAGTAACGATTCGATTTTATTTCGAATAATCTAAATAAATATTTTCCTTTCGATTAATTAATTCAAAAAGTATATATAAGAACAAAATTTCGTGGTAATAAAAAAAAAAACAATATAATAAATATGTCGTATATATTATAATCTCTATCGATAAAAAAGAAAGATGCTTTTTATTTGTTGATCTAATTATAAACAAAAAAAACTGTTTTTCTTTTCTTTTCTATGAAATTAATTAAATAAGATAATATCAATTTGATATTGAATTTTGATTGATCGCTAAATTTAATTAATATCAATTCATCTAGATTTCAATGTAATTCCCGTTAAAACTCGATCGATAAAA